GCATATAATAAACTGAATTTATTGAATTGTATAGCTGGGTAAATTTTGACATATATGTACCTCCATGAAACCATTACAACAATAAAGATGAGTGAACATACATGTGACTCACAGAAGTTTACTTGTACACCTTTGTAATTCCTCTCCCCACCGTCTCCTCTCTCCCTTCCCAGGCAAGCGCTCATGTGCTCTTTGTCACTATGTATTAGTTCACATTTCCAACAACTTTGTACAAATTGAATGACACGGCGTGTATTACGTATTATTTGTCTTTCATGCCACATGGTTATATTTAGAGTCATCCGTATAGTGGTATATTCTTATTGCTGGATAGTCTTCCATTGTGCAGTATGCCACAGTTTGTTTATGCAGTCACCTGTTGATGGACATTTGGGTGGTTTCCATTTTTGGCGATTAGAAATAAAGTTGCTTTGAATGTTCATATGCAAGTTTTTATATGGACGTATACTTTTATTTTTATTGGATAAATATCTAGAAAAGGAATGATTTGATCATGTGGTAGGCATACGTTTAACATTTTAAAATACTAGAATCTTTTGCAAAATGATTGTACGATTTTTCCTTTTCACCAACTGTATACTAGAGTTCTGGTTCCCCTATCCTCACCAACATTTGATTTTTTGGTTTTAGCCATTCTAACAGGTATATAGTCATATATCATTGTGGTTTAAATTTGTATTTTGATAATGACTAAAGATATTGAGTAGTTTTTCATGTGCTTATTTGCCATTCGTATCCCTTCTTTGATGAAGCTCCTATTTTGAAAAGTAAGTTGTTTTCTCATTATTGAGATTTGACAGTTCTTTATACATTCTTTATACAAATTCTGTATCAGATATATGGGTGATTTATTTTACCACTCTGGGGCTTGTCCTTTCGTTCTTTTAAACAGTGTCTTTTGAAGAGCACTTTAGACAATGTCCAATTTATTAATTTATTCTTTTATGAATTATGCTTTTGGATTCATATTATGCCTACCCCAAGGACAGAAAGATTTTTCTGTCATGTTTTCTTCTAGAAGATTTGTAGTTTCAGGTTTTATATTTGGGTCTATAGTCTTTTTTGAGTTAATTTTTGTATAAGGTGCAAAGTATGAATTAAAGTTTATTTTGTGGCATATAAATATCCAGTTGTTGCAGTATCCTTTGTTGAAATGTGCCCTATGTCTACTAAATTGCCTTTGCGCTTTGATCAGAATTTGTTTTTCTATATAAGTGTGGGTCTGTTTTTGGACTCTCTATTCTGTGTATCTGTCTTTACACTAATACCAATATTTTCATACTGTAGTTTTATAAATCTTGAAATCAGGTAGCATTAGTTCTTCAGCTTTGCTCTTTTTTGAAGTTATTTTTGTTTTTCTAGGTCCTTTGCATTTTCGTAAGAATTTTGAAATAATTTTCTACCAAAAAAAGAGTGCATTGATATTAATTAGGATTTTAATATATAGATTACTTTGGGGAGAATTTGCATCTTAACTGTATTGAGTCTTCTGAAGTATGAATGTATTGTCTCTGTTCATTTAATGTCTTCTTTAATTTATCTCGGCACTGTTGTTGCAGTTTTCAGTGTGCAGATCTTTCACATATTTTCACAGATATACCTAATTATCTCATATTTTTAATGTTATTGCAAATTGCTTTGTCTTTTAAATTTCAGTTTCTGGTTGTTCATTGCTAGTATATAGGTATATGATTGAGTTTTACACATTGATCTTATATCCTGCAACCTTGTTAAATTCATTTATTAATTCTAGTAGCTTTTTTTGTAGATTCCAACAGATTTTCTACATAGATCATGTTCTCTGAATAAAACAGTGGTATCACTTGTGCTTTTGCAAGTTAAATGTCTTTTTGCTTCTATTTCATCTTGTTATACTGACTGGCTCCTCTAGGATAATGTTAAATAGAAGTGGTGACAACAGATATCATTGTCTTCTTTCTGGGTTTTAGGCAAAAGCATTAAGTCTTGTCAAGTTTCACATTAGCTGTGGGTGTTTGTTTTTTTAATTTATTATTTTTTTAATTTTTATTTTTTATTGCAGTAACATTGGATTATAACATTATATAGCTTTCAGATGTACATTGTAATATATTTCAAATTCTGTGTAGATTATGTCATGTTCACCACCCAAAAACTAATTATAATCCATCACCACACACGTGTGCCCAACACCCCCTTTTGCCTTCTTCCCTCCCCCTTCCCCTATGGTAACCACCAATCCAATCTCTGTTGCTATGTGTTTATCATTGTTTTAATCTTCTACTTATGACTGAGATCATACGATATTTGACTTTCTCCCCTGACTTATTTCACTTAGCATAATACCCTCAAGGTCCATCCATGTTGTCACAAATGGCCGGATTTCATCATTTCTCATTGCTGACTAGTATTCCATTATGTATATGTACCACATCTTCTTTATCCATTCATCGCTTGATGGGCACCTAGGTTGCTTCCAAGTCTTGGCTATTGTGAATAATACTGCAATAAACATAGGGGTGCATGTATCTTTATGCATTTGTGTTTTCAAGTTCTTTGGATAAATACCCAGCAGCGGGTTAGCTGGATCATATGGTAGATCTATTGCTAATTTTCTGAGGATACTCCATACTGCTTTCCATAGTGGCTGTAGCAGTTTGCACTCCCACCAGCAGTGTATGAGGGTTCCCTTCTGTTCACATCCTCTCCAACACTTGTTTCCTGTCTTCTTAATTATAGCCATTCTGACCAGAGTGAGGTGATATCTCATTATCGTTTTGATTTGCATTTCCCTGATAGCTAATGATGTTGAACATCTTTTCATGTGCCTGTTGGCCATCCGTATATCTTCTTTGGAGAAATCTCTGTTCAGATCTTTTGCCCATTTTTTCATTGGGTTGTTGTTTTTTTTTTTGTCGTTGAGATGTGCAAGTTCTTTGTATATTTTGGATATTAACCCCTTATCTGATACAGGGTTTGCAAATATCTTCTCCCAATTGTTAGGTTGTTTTTTCATTTTGTTGATGGTTTCCTTTGCTGTGCAGAAGCTTTTTAGTTTGATGTAGTCCCATTTGTTCATTTTTTCTTTTGTTTCCATTGCCCAGTCAGACATGGTACTTGAAAATATGCTGCTAAGACCGATGTCAAAGAATGTACTGCCTATGTGTTCTTCTAGAAGTTTCATGGTTTCGGGTCTTACATTCAAGTCTTTAATCCATTTTGAGTTGATTTTTGTACACGGTGTAAAATAATGGTCTACTTTCATTCTTTTGCATGTGGCTGTCCAGGTTTCCCAACACTATTTATTGAAGAGACTCTCCTTTCTCCACTGTAGGCTCTTGGCTCCCTTGTCGAATATTAGCTGTGGGTTTTTTGTAGATACCTTTTATCAGGCCTTCTGTTCCTAGTAGAGTGGGAGTTTTTATTAGGAATGAATTTTAGATTTTTTAAAATGCTTTTTCTGCATCTATTGATATGATCACATGCTTCTTTTTAGTTTGTTAATATGATGAATCACATTGATTTTAAAATGTTAAATCAAGCATGAATTCCTGGGATAAACTCCCTTGGTCCTGATATATTATTCTTTTTACATATCGTTGGACTAGATTTGCTGAAATGTTCTTTATAATTTTTCGTTCATATTCATGAAGGATATTGTTCTGTTTGTTTGTTTTCCTGTTAGGTTTTTGGTTTTGTTATCAGGGTAATGTTGATCTCATAACAAGATTTGAGAATTGGTATTATTTCTTCCTTAAATTGTTTGATCGAATCCACTGCTGAATTTATCTGGCCCTGTGGTTTTTCTTTGTGGGAAAGCTTTTAACTAAAAAATTCAATAGATATAAGGCTATTCAGTGTATCTGTTTCTTCTTGAGTGAGCTTTGGTACTTTGTGTCTTTCAAGGAATTTGTGCGTTTTATGGAAGTTTTCAAGTTTATTGGCATAAGGTTGTTCAGAATTCCTTTATTATCCTCCTAATATCTGCAGAATATGTAGTGAGGTCAACTCTCTCATTCCTAATGTGGCTAATTTGTTTCTTCTCTTTCTTTTTTCCTAATCCATCTGACTAGAGGTTTGTCAGTTTTACTCATTTTCTCTAAGAGCTTTTTGGTTTCAGTGTTTTTTTTGTTTTCCTGTTTTATCGATATCTGTACGGATCTTTATCATTTTCTTTCCTCTGTTTATGTTGGATTTTATTTGCTCTTCTTTTTCTTTGTTCTTAAGATGGAAGATGAGGTCATTGATTTGAGACCTTTCTTCTTTTCAAATATAGGTGTTTATGTATAGTACTCCTTTACTGGCATCCCAGAAATTTTTGTCTGTTGTCTTTTAATTGTCAGTCAGTTCAAAATACTTTCTAAATTCCCTTTTGGTTTGTTTTATGACCAACATCAGTTATGTTAGAAGCATGTTTTTTAGTTCCAGATATTTGGGGATTTTTTAAGATATCTTTGTTACTAATTTTTATTCTAAAACTATTTTGGTTCAAAAACGTACTTTGTATGACCAGAAACCTTTTAAATTTATTCAGAGTGTTTTATGACATCAAATATTGTCAATCTTGGCACTTGAAAATAATGTGTACTTTGCTGTTTTGGATGAAGTATTGTGTAAATTAAGTAAATTTTACATCAATTAAGTAAATTTTGGATGTTGTTTAGGTTTTTACTGTGCTTACTGATTTTTCTGTGTACTTGTTTTATTAGTTACTGAGAGGAAGACTTGAAATCTGCAACTATAATTGTCAATTTGTGTATTTTTTATAGGTTAAGTTTCAAAATATATGGTTAATATATCAAAAGCAGTGAATAGTCTGGGTGGAAAATTACTGCATTATTATAAATAGCATTATTTTAAAAGACATTAGAACACATCTTCGGTTTGTCCTTTAGTATAAGCTATTTGTAGCATCATCTTCATATACAAAAGAAACTTTTATTTGCTGCATTTTATTATTTTATCATTTACCTAATCCATGTTTTTGTTTCGCTTGGCAGCTTCCATGTTTTTGAAACAGGCATTTGAAGGAGAATACCCTAAATTATTGCGTCTTTATAATGACTTATGGAAGCGTCTTCAACAATACAGCCAGAATATTCAAGGAAAGTTTAATGCAAGTGGAACTACAGACCTCTATGTTGACCTCCAACACATGGAAGATGATACACAAGACATATTCATAACAAAAAAGCCGGATTATGAGTATGTTTGTTTAATCAAACCTGTTTGTTGGCATGTTAAGGATTTTGTCTTTTATTTTTAGTATAAATTAGAAATTAGGAATATGCTAATTTTCTAAATATTTGTAATGATTATTATTTATTTGTATACTTTAAAAGACTTTGCAACACTTTTAACTGAAGTCAAATTTAATCCTTAGTTGAGCAGCCTGGTTCCCAACTCAAAGCCATTTTAAAGTATAACACCAAATAGGGTGAGTAGAAGCTAGGAGTTGAGCATCTGTGGTCATCATCTCTTAACTGATATTATAATATACCTATAATAAAATCAGACAGCATCATTCTTGATGGACCACTGGCATAAATGTGATTTAAAAGGAACTGGTATGTTCAGGAAGTATAGCAGAAATAAGTCTTAAGCTGGCATGGGTTCTCAGTCTGGTAGGAAAAAACTAAGTATAGTCAAAATTAACCTGAAAATCTCTTAGATAAGTATAGTATATGCAGCCATATTTAGAAACCACATCGGAAAACAATATACCATCTCCGTAAGTTTAAAGCACACAGCTTTTCCTACTGAATTGAAAAAGAGTATTATTTTCAAATTTCTGTTTGAACACAAAATCAATTGATTGGCTTGTACACCTGACTCAAGTAGTAGCAGATTCTTGTCACCTACCTTGTAAGGAAAATGTTGGATAGATTCATGAGTGCTATTTGAATATTTGTTTCTCTTTCAAATTTTTTTCTAAGTACTTATAGTTGAATTGTATCCACTGTAGTAAGAAGTTCTGACTAGTAAAATAGAATGTAGAAGTTTTGACTAGCAAAATAAGTAGCATGAGAGTAGGCTGGAATAGAATGAGACTATCTTGTTCTCTTCATAACTCTTTTATGCTAAAAATGGAGATTAGATAAGGACTAATGGAAGAGGACTGAACCAATATCTGTTATCTACAAAGATCTAATAATATAAAGTTTTTTAAAAAGTATGTAAAGTAGCATATATACTATCATTCTGGCTTACTTTTTTAAATTCGTATGCATCTGCTAAAAAAAAGTTCTGGAAATATCCTCAGCAAATGGTAATAGTGGTTTATTTCTAGGAGGTAGAATTCTTATTTTGTGTTTTCTTCTTTTATTTAAAATGAGTATATGTTACTTGTGGAGGGGGAAAAGGAGTAAATTCAATGGAAGGAAAAAAATCAGAGTGGAAAAAAATCACTGTTTTAACCAATATGGCTTCATCATTACTCTTTGGAGACGGAATTCTCCCAATTCAGAGGGTGACCCATATTCTAAGCAGCCAGAAACTCATGAGGGTAATAAGGAAACAAATGCAATGTGTTTTAAATGTTCTTTTGAGAAGTAAGGCAGAGAAGAAAAGATAAATTTGGCCATGTTAGCTGAGCCAAGGAAAAGTTTTTTTGTTTGTTTTTAGTGATAGAAGGGGAGTTGAAAGTATTTATAGATAGAGGTAGCCAGTGGAGAGAGAAAGAGATAGGAGATGCAAGAGAGAAAAGAGGTAATGAATGGAATAAGGCACTAGGAGAACCAGAAAAGAATCAAGGCACGAGTAACCAGGTTAGCATTTTTCATCGTTCACTATTCGTGCTGAATTTTCAATAGTGGTAATTACTATGAAGAAAATAAAGCAAGATAATGGGATAGAGTGCCTTATAAAAGGTGGTCAAGGAAGACCTCTATGAGAAGGTAGCATTTGACCTGAGGTCTAAGTAATGTGAAGAAATCAACTATGGAAGATTTGGAGTAAGATTTTTGCAGGCAGAGAGAAAAGCAAATTTAGAGTCCTTGAGAAAATTAAGATGAGATTTGAGGAATAGAAAGCTGGAACACAGCAAATGAGGAAGGGGGGGGGGGGGGGTATAAAATCGGGTCAGAGAGGAAGGGAAATGTAATCATGTAGAGCTTTATAGGAGTTTATTCAAATACAGTGGAAATCATTGCTTTTAAACAGAGGACTGATATGAACTGATAACCTGTTAAAATTAGCACTCTGGCTTCTTTGTGAACAACTAAGGGAGGGTCACCACAGAGAAGGGGAAATAGGAAATGGAAGCTATTTTGTTTATCCAGACAAGAGATGGTAATGACTTGAACAAGGAGGAGCAGAGGAGATGGTAAGAATCGGTCGGATTGATTCAAGATTCAGTTTAGAAGGCAAGCCAACAGAATTGCTGGTAGGTGAAATTTGAGAAGAAAAGAAGAATCAAGGATATGCTTGAACAAGTTGGGGGAAGACTGCTAACTCTAGTTAAATTAAGGTTTTTCTTTTGAAACTATTGAATTGAAGATGCAAATAGAATTGCTGAAAAGGTAGTTGAATGTGAATCAGGGCTAGAAATACATGTTTGGGAGTCATCATCATATAGATTTTTTAAAATTAGGGAGTTGGAGGAGATTCTGTAGGGAAGATGTAGATGAAGAGAAAAGAGACTCTTGGCCTGAGATAGGCATTCCAAAATATATAGATTGGGTAGAGGAGTGGCAGCCTGCAAAGAAGAGTAAAACAGAAAAAAAATGGTGAGATAGGAGGAAAACTCAAAATAGTGTAGAACTCCAAAGAATGAGTTCATTAAGTTGGAATAGGAATAGTTAATGTGTCACATGCTACTGAAAAGTTGAAGATTAGGACTGAGAATTGACCTCTTGGTATAGCAAAATAAGGTTGTTGGAGGCATAGATGTAGAATGGTAGCTACAAAAGCATAAGAGTCATAAGTTGCATAACAAAGTTTCGGTCACTGATGGACTGCGTATATATGATGTCAGTCATCCCATAAGATGAGTATCATATAGCCTAGGTATGTAGTAAACTATACCATGAAGGTTTGTGTAAGTACACACTATGATGTTCGCACAACAATGAAATCACCTGGTGACACATTTCTCACAGTTTATCCCCTTGTTAAGTGATGCATGACTGTGTTAGAATTGATTAAAGACAGAATGGGAGGAGATTGACTTCTGGAATGACAGCACTTCCCACTCCACTGACTCACTCCCCAGTGAAACTGGTAAAAACTATTAAAACTCAACAATTTCAAGCCTCTGGAAATGGTCATAAAAGCAAACAGCAAATGAAAAATCATCTACTCAAGAAAATCTGTGAAAATTCCATAAGAAAGAGTTCCGTAACAGTCTGTGATACTTCAACCAAGACTGTTTCCTCCTTCCCTCCTCCCACCTCGGCAAGGCCTAAACTCCACTCTAGACTGCAGCAGCCAAGAACACCAGGATCCATCTTGCCCAACTCCCAGCTAGAGGGCTTTCTTCCAGGGAGGGGCAGACGCTCAGCATCTCTCATCCTGCCCTCAGCTGCCTGTCACTGAGGCTAAGTTTAAGGCCAGTGAGATGAAGAGGTGGGTGCTCCCTTGAGGTGCCCAACTGCCACTCAGGGGGCGGAGTTTCTACCTTGTTGTGGCTCCACGAATATACTGGTGCCCCAATAAACCTTTCCCCCAGCTTTTGAAATGGTGGTTCCACACCAGGAAGGCAACCTAAGAGGACTTCAGGCTGCTGCCCGCCTCCACCATGTCCCTAGAGTGGGGTGTTCCTCAGGGAGAAGCTTGCCCTTTTCTCCACCCCAGCTCCAGAGCTCTGGCATAAAGATCTTGTCTGGGGGAGAAGCAGACAGTAAAACAATTAACTCCTAATCTCTTCCCAAAGTAACTGACTTCATTCGCAACAGAGCCTGGAGATAAAAGCTGAGGACACTCTCAGTAACAGCGGAGGGGCTGGCCCTGTGGCCTAGTGGTTGGCTTCAGCACTGGGTTCAGCACGCTCTGCTTTGGATCCTGGGCATGGACCTGCAACCACTCGTCAGCCATGCTGTGGTAGTGAGCCACATATAAGAAAAAAAAATAGAGGAAGATTGGCACAAATGTTAGCTCAGGGTGAATCTTCATCAGCAAAAAGAGGAGGATTGGCAACAGATGTTAGCTCAGAGCCAATCTTCCTCAGGAAAATACAAAACAAAGCAGTGCAGATTGTGGTGAGAGGCAAAGGGGAGGATATTCATGGATCTAAGGAAGATACAGACTAGACTATAGGCCAACTAGCTCTTAGGATAGATCCGGGGAATAAGACAACTGCAAGGAGTCCTTGGGGGTCAGAACAAATATCAAACATGACTTCAGAAACTGTTCTATCAAAGGAGCTATCGTTAGATTGGATTTGTTTGTAAAGGAATTTATGCCCCAAGTATTCTTGAAAACAATAGAGCAGTCTGCTGGCAGTGAGTAGACTTCAGCAGCTGGGTGTGGTCAAGGAAAGAGAACCCTGCCAGTACCACTGTCCTCCCTGGGTGACTGTGGGCATACCCAAAGCTGTGCCTCTCTGATATGCAACATCAGAGGCCTAGCGCCGTGGCAGTGGAATAGACTTCACTAAAATAATCCAGCCAGTCACCAAAAAAATAAACAAGCAAATAACAATAGTAAGCCCCTGAGGTAAGGAGGACCAGTACCCAGTGTTGCCATATGTATTATCTGAAAAGGTCAGTTTCCAACAAACATTATGAGGCATACAGAGAAACATGAAAGCATGACTCATCCACAGGGGAAGAAAGGAGGCAGCACTGTCTGTGAGAGTGACCAAATGTGGGATTTAACAGAGAAGACTTGAAAGTAGCTGTTATAAATGTATTCACAGAACTAAAAGAAATCATGATTGAAGAAGTACAGGAGTGTGTGACAGCAATGTCACATCAAATAGAGAATATCAATAAAAAGATGGAAATTATAAAGAAGAATCAAATGGAAATGCTGGAGTTGAACAGTACAATAACTGAAATTTAAAAAATCGCTAGAGGGGCTCAATAGTAGATTTGAACACGCAGAAAAAAGAATTAGTCAACCAGAATCTAGATTGATAGGGACTATGCAGGCCAAAGAATGAAGAGGAAAAAGAATGAAGAAAAATGAACAGAGCCTCAGAGAAATGTGAGACATGGGTAAACACACCAACATTGACGTAATGGGAGTACTACAAGAAGAGGAGA